TATAACTCAATACAGATTTCTGGGAACGTGATGCAATGACAGGATCAATTTATAATGGGGATTGGGCAAAGACTTTGAAAGCAAGTTGCCCCAGGAGAATTTTTCAGTGTCAACTTGTACGGAGGAATTTCCACCCACAAAGTCTCTCCAAAAGTTCCAAAAAAAATTACCTATTTGCAGAAGACGTCTTCTCTTCAAGTTCTTTTGGAATATTTCTACAAGAAAAAAAAGCTCGAGAGGAAAGAACAACCAAAGTTACACCCCAAAGAATATGGAATTAAAATCACGTTAGTATTTGACAAAGAACCTAACGGAATTTAACAAAGCAGTAACCGAATAAAAGTTTTCCAAAATGGTGTCAAAAAAAATGGTAATTAAGACCAATAGTCTGCTTTAATTAAGTGGCAGTTGTTGATTTTGCTTATTAATTTTAATTCTATTTTAGTCGTGTTTTAATCAAAATAGCGGGTAATGAAGGCTCATTTAGTAGACAAGTGAGCGAGCTGCAAGCACTGCCCCTATCAAAATGAGAAGCACAAAGTAACAGCGGTGTTAGGCTCATCCAACGCGTACTTACGGAAGTAGCACGGGAACTTGACCGTCAAGTTTGAATAAAGCTGGCCAAGCTTGTGTCACTCCAATTCACGTTCTTTATACACGTGTATACTGTATACATAATATTTAGCTCAGTAAATATCGGACCCCATATAAGCTGGTCAACAATTAGATGCATTACAAACACTAGTTTTGAACATGATTAGGTGTCTGGATGAAATCCATGAGTTGAGGAAGTTGGAACGATATTACATACAAGTACAAGTGTTGTTTCACCACTTTTCAGCATGCAATGGAAGTATCAGAGCACCCTTATCCAATTCTAGTTTGAATAGATTCTAGGCGAATCCAAGATTTAAACTTTATGGTTCAACATTGAACGTTTTTAGTATTGAATTTTTTGCACATAAAAATTGTTGCTCCGCGTTGATAATTATGGAATTCAATAAAACCGTTGCCTACAGGGCTAAATCGTCCCTGGATTCACCATGTTAAGGGATAACCTAGAGGTACTTTTTAATGTAACTCTAACTCTCATTTGAAAACAATGTTAACATTTGAAAACCACCTTAAAAGGGATAAGTAAAATTGATTATGGATTGGTGGGAAAGAATTATTGCTTTCTTTACGAAATGATAGCATCTGAAAAAATTTCTATTTACAGCCAATCGAATTCTTCGCCTTACCAATAATGGCAAAGCTTCGAAAGCAAGTTGACCAAAGAAGAATTTTTAAGTGTCAACTTGTAGAGAGAAATTTGCCACCTTCAAAGTCTTTTCAACTAGAACATATGAAGTATTTTACTTGAATGGGGTATTATCACTTTTGGCTTGCGTCAGAAACTATTTACATCTGGTAGCCGAAAAAATGTATAACTTTGGTATATCACATACAGAAGTATATATATACAAAAAATATACAAATTTATATATTTTTTTGGCTATTATTTTTACAGCGGCAAATACGGTTCCTTTTTCACTTGAATAGGCCTATTATCCATTGGAAACTCTAAAATGCAGAGCACGTCTTCTTCAAGGTTGCAGCATTATTATTTGATTTCAATAAGGGAAATAATAAGTAATTGAGACCTATATACTTTTTATGTATAATGGACAAGATGTCGATCTTTTTTAATGCTCCAACAAGATACAAAAATACTCATTCTATCACAAATTGTAATCATAATTTTTCAAGAATTAGATTTTAGCAACAAGTTTTTTAGGTCTCTGCAATTTTTTCCCGTATCAAGTTTACTATGGCAGCATTTCCCTGTTACTAAAATCCATAAAAAAATGATGGCTTTCCAATTTGAAAAAAATCTAACTTGAACTTCTCATTTACCATTAACGACACTTTTGTGTCACACATGTATGGCATGGTTCAAGATCACAAGTTTTGAAAATATCTTTCTTTCTTCAAAGTTAATGTCTAGTAAACTATGTCACATAAATTGAAACCAGAGGGAGTATTAAAGGTGTTGAATTCAAAAAGAAATGTTTCGGAAACAACCTCTCTACTCCTTCGTGAGGTAGGGGTAAGCGTCCTGGCGTACACTCCTAACCCTCCCCAAACCCACTTTGTGGAATTTTACTGGTTGTCATTGTCATTGTTTGTTTTGTTGTTGTTGTTGTTGTTGAAATTCAAAAGAAATGTCAACATGCAAGAAATGTTGAACTTGCAAATATAAACATATTTCATATTGATTTCCATAATATATATTGCCCCTCTTCTAAGTAGTCTAGCTATGATGAGGGCAAAGAGCTATATCACTTCTAAATATAGTACTAGCTAGCTAGCCTGCAGGCCTGAAGTACTAAACATGGCTTTCCTTTGCCTAATTCTTCTTCTACCTTTGTCAGCTATGTCAATAGAGAGCACCATCATCACCAACCACACTAAACCTGGCTGCCAACCGAAATGCGGAAACATGACTGTTCCCTACCCATTTGGGATCGGTATAGGTGCCGGTTGCTCTATAAACCGTAAATTTGACATCAGGTGTGATACCTCATCCGATCCTCCGATTGCCTATCTCAACACTGGAAATATTGAGGTCCTCGACATATCAACTAGCCAAATACGAGTCAAAAACACCTTCACAGGCAGCTGCTATGAACAAAATGGCGAACTAGCTAGCCAAAAAACTATGAGAATCGACACAGGAGTCCCGTTTTTCACTTTATCTGATAAAGATAACAGGTTGACTCTCGTAGGCTGTGATGATTTGGCTTTAGCTTCTGGTCTTTCGTTGTATGAAGGGCGTGATTTTAACATTGGATGTATAACTTCGTGTTCAAGAAGTGTGGATGCGAGCAATGGGACTTGTTCCGGGATTGGTTGCTGTCAAGCAGCCATCCCTAAGGGATTGATGACCTTTTGGGGGACGGTGACTAGCATGCTTAACCATACTAAGGTCTGGTCCTTTAACCCTTGTGGCTATGCCTTCCTTGGTGAGCACGAAAAGTTTACGTTTCGGGGTGCATCAGATTTAACAGACCCGAATTTCGTAAGCAGAATAGTGAAAGATGTACCTATTGTGATTGACTGGGCAATTGGGAATCAAAGTTGCAGTGAGGTTAAAAACTCCACTGCATATTCATGTAAGGAACATAGTCTGTGCATTGATTCTGAAAGTGGGCGAGGAGGTTATCGCTGCATTTGTGAGGAAGGATATGACGGTAATCCTTACCTTACTCCTGGCTGCCAAGGTTTGTGCTCTAGCCTAATCTATACATGCACATATGTTCACTTTAACTTTGGATTGTTACAGTTGGCAGGATGTTTCGTAAGTCTGGATTTTTTGGAATAAATCGCTTTAACCATAGATCTCGAGTTTAAGTTCTACAGATGACGAATACAGATTCGTCGAGCCATTGGATTTTCGAGCAAGAAAAACTCTAGTTTCTCACAGTTTAAGCAAATCTAGACGTTGCAACTTGCATAAGCATCAACTGCCTATTCGTGAATTCACGTTAGCGGCAATATGCGAAGTAAATAAATAAATAGAAAACAGCAGTTGTGAACTCCCTCAACCCCACCCCATTCCCCAAACAAGGGGTAAATTTTCCTTTCCAATGCACTAATTTGAGTATTCCTCTAACAGATAACGATGAGTGCACAAAGAATCCTTGTGATGGAATTTGCAAAAACACTGCTGGAGGGTTTCAGTGTTCCTGTCCGAAGGGATACTTTGGTGACGGCCAGAAGGGACGTGGTTGCCAGAAGGAACGTGATCTCCCCGTCTTGAAGTTATCTCTTGGTATGTAAACACAATACTATGAATAAAGTTTCAATTGAGCAATTTAGCAGGTGAATAAATTCTATGAAACCTTAGATATAAAACTAAACATTGGATAATAATATGGTTATAATAATAGATCCAACCTCAAAATAATTAGTTACGAAATCCAAATTTTGGTAGTTTTAGTCGTAGTCAACGCAGAGGCGGAGCAAGGTTTTGAAACTTATAGGTTCAGGATTCTAAATCATTAAAGTTTCTGAGTTCCAAATTAATAATCTGTACATATTCAATGAATTTCCAAAAACAAAAGTTCAATTTTATTCTTTGGTTTTGGGCAAAAATACCCCTCACCAATCTCATGTAGTACATGCCATTATGCAAGCATGGGACACTATCATCAGCGCATTCCTTCTGTGTTTTCACTATAGGGGAAAAATTGTAATGGCTCAATACATTCAAAAAGGGGTATGCATGGTTTGTGTGGGTTGGGGTACCAGGGCGGGGATAATTTTGGATTTAGAGAAGATCCTCCTTTGTTCAACTACTTGGGTAACCTGCAATGACAGTGTAAATTTTCTTTTCCTTGCGCTACCAATATAATTTAATATGACGTAACAAGTTTTAAGGCCGAATAAGTAAACAGGTAAGTATAAGTTATACAAGAATTGGTCAACGGGTTAATTATCCCAATGTTTGTCTTAATATATATATTCTACTCTATTCAAATGCAGGTTTAGGTCTAGGATTATTGTCACTACTGGTTAGTTTCAGTTGGATATACTTCGGTATAAAAAGGAGAAAAATCTTAAAATTACGGGAGAAGTTCTTCAAGCAAAATGGTGGTATGCTATTAAAGCAGCAGACATCGTCGAATTTAAATAAGGTGTTTACCATTGAAGAGCTTAAAAAAGCCACCAACAATTTTGCTAAAGATCGCATCCTTGGAGTAGGTGGAAATGGCATAGTATACAAAGGGATTCTACCAGATCAACGCATAGTTGCAATCAAGAAGTCTAAACAGCTTGAGCAAAACCAAATAGAAGAGTTTATAAATGAGGTTGTAATACTCACTCAAATTAACCACCGAAATGTTGTGAAACTATTGGGTTGTTGCTTAGAGACTGAAGTGCCTTTGTTGGTCTATGAATACATATCTCATGGTACCCTTCACTACCATATACATACCAATGGAGGAATGCCTTGGCTTTCTTGGCAAAATCGGTTAAGAATAGCTGTTGAATCTGCTGATGCCTTTAGTTATCTCCACTATGCAGCTTCTACACCTATCCTACATAGAGACATCAAGTCAGCAAATATACTACTAGATGACTACTACACAGCAAAGATCGCTGACTTTGGGGCTTCGAGGCTAAGACCTTTCGACCAGGCTGATATGAGTTCACTCATACCAGGAACATTGGGTTATCTAGACCCTGAAGGCATACAAATGGGATTATCAGACAAGAGTGATGTCTACAGTTTTGGTGTAGTTCTCGCTGAGTTATTAACGGGAAGAGAAGCCATTGATCTAACTCTACCCAATAAAGAAAAGAGCTTAGCTGCGTATTTCAAAGTTTCTGTGAAGGAGAATCGCTTGTTTCAGATTCTCCATAATAAGGTCTTAAAAGAAGGCTCTTTGGAGCAGCTTAATGCCATTGGTGAGCTTGTGGTTAGATGTCTTAACACAAAAGGAGAAGAAAGACCTACTATGAAAGAAGTGGCAACTGAATTGGAAGGATTTACTAAATATAGTAGTCGTACATGGGCTCATCACGATCAAGAAAACAATCAACTACAAATGGGAGAAATGATCAGTGAACAGGAGGACCTTTATAGTGTACTAATGTACACTTCCACCAATTATGATACATCATCAAGTGATCAACAAAGCACCGAAATTAGCACGAAACGTGAAGAAAACCCCCTCTTTAATGACTAATTATTGAAATTTCATAAATTAGTGTATCTGCATCTTCATATGATCATTCATTCATTGCTAATTAAAACCCCAACAATTTAATAGGATATTTGTGTTTTTATGTGATCAACTTCCATAATTTATTTATTGCTTAATTACTATGATACACTACTGGTCGCTACATGAGTATTTATGTATATGTAGGGTCGAATTTTAGTTTTCTTTAATTGGCCCTAATCGCTTTCAAAAACCCCATTAATGAAAGCAATGGTTGCTTGCCTCACATTGTTCCTTCCTCTCATTCCATGTGGTGTCAAAATATCAAAAAGCAGAATACATCGACCCCCCACCCCCCACCCCCACCCCCAAAAAAAAAAAAAAAAAAAACTATGCCAAAAAATCTTATTTAGAGCACCTAAATTTGGGGTGGAAAAAGACAAATCAAAAAAGAAAACAGCAATAAAGAAAAAGAACTCCACCGACATAGGAGTTCACACACTCCTGATCAAAGTCTTGAGAAGGAGTGGTGCATGAGTGGTGCAAACTGCAAAGCAGTAGAGAAAGATGGTGCTGGAGACGGAGAAGGAAAAATGTAGGTGAGAGGCGGGGATCCTCCATAACGGGAACAGAAAGTGGTGCATTTGAGAAGATTTTCACCGGTTGGAACGCATGGTAATGATTTCCCAGCGATAGAAGAAGAATGGCCAAAAAATCATGGTTAACTTTAGAAAAAGGGAGACAATGGCCAGAAAATTCTGGCAAAACTTCCATATTTTCCTGTGGAAGTCTTTGCTGTAAACGCTCAATTTAAATTAGAAAATGCACGCTCTGTCATCTAAGCATTGAGGGTTCATTATAACATATCTGACAACTTGAGATGTTCCCCAACTACAACCAGGTGTCTAAATGAAAATTATTGGATAATTCACGGGTAGAGGCAACGAGTGTGAACAATACAAGCTCCTAATAACATCAATTAGTTGATTAATACAAAATTAAAGTATAAAGTAAAGGTTCCAGCATGCAGAAAAGACCTCACCGTTTAAGAAATAACCATAAAAACGAAGGAACCCACTATTTAATTTTTTATTTCTCTAATTTACTATGCTTTTCATACCTAGGAGGATGTGTGATGAGACTTCTAATTCACTACAACAAAACAGGCCAGCTGAGCTCGTTTTCAAAGTATATAGCGGCGGTTGAAACCGCTACCTTATGCACCGCCACAAACAGCAATTAACTTTCGGATTGTTGAGATTAGGAAAGGAGTCGAACAAGATCAAACAAGAAAAATGAATTCCGTAGAAATTCAGAGAAGCAAAGATTTAGACTAAAGTAAAAAAGAAAAATTTCAGAGAAAATTAACCTGATGGCCGACGGTCGTTGGGAGATAAGGGATTAGTCAGGAATGCAACTTGTCCACCGGTAACAAACAACAAATGCAAATCTGTTGAAGAGAAAACAAACATAAGCAACTGATGCAATTTTGGAAATCCCCAATTTTTAAACCTAGGTCAAAATCTTATTCGTCACAAATTCTACGAATTATCTATGATTTGAGACATGAAATCACCTCGAATCGATTCAAATACTGGAGAATGGATCATTCGAATCCCCAAATTCCTCTACTTTGAATCGATAGGAGTTTCAGCTTCGGATCGATGAGAGTTCCCTCTCTTTCTTTGAGTTTCCTCTTCCCAAAAATAATTGAATTTCCCTCCATTTTTCATTTCCCTATTTTCTTTTTCCAAGAAAAATTAAAAAGACTAGGCATACAACTCAAGGGCCTAAATGATTTTTAATTGAAATGAGTGTATATTTGTGTTAATTCAAGTTTTACTTTAATATCTTCTCTAAATATTAAACTTTGGCTTAACTTTTTCTTAAGCGAATATTCGAATTTTTTTTGTAAGAAATATAATATTGTATACAGTTTTCAATCATGTTAATCTAATTTTTATTAACTATTTTTATCTAAACAGTTTTTTAGAGAAGTACATCTGGAGATAAGTAATTTGTATTTGAAAATTCATTTGAAAATTGCTATTTTTAATATTTGAAAAAAATATTGTATTTGATCAATCTTTCACAAAGAGCCTTTGAGTGTCAAATTATAAAGAAGACAGTATTAAGGTCCACTTTGCTATTAGTATGACAAATATTGTCATTTGTTTCCCGCCTTCTTTTGTATTATTAGATTATTATCTAAAAGAACACAATAAGATCAAATACTGTAGAGAGTTAACTATGTAAGATGCATATTAGAAGTAGTAAGATATTTGGGAGTTTCGTACTGTTCTTTACATGACTTTGAATTGACCTTTTGTACCGAGGACGATCTATGAGATGGTTCCCGTGCCAGAAATTATTTATATTTGTTAGTCGAAAATATGTATATATAGAACTTGTATAGTTTTTGTATGTAACATACAGAATGTATATATATACAAAAGAAAATATAAATTTTATATATTTTTTCGGTTATTATTTTTACAACGACTATACGGTATCATTTTTCTTTTTCTTTTTTACCTAGTAATTTACTATATTAAGTGATGAAATGTACAAAAAGGGTAAAAGAATAACGAAAGTAAAAGAAAAAAAAGATTAACAGACAATGACAAGAAAGTTAATGCCGAGAAAATGCCATGCAGCCAGAATTTTCTACGTTGTTTACCGACCAATAGAAAATTTTGCCCCATTTGACTCAAAAAGCATCTTAAATCCCTTTAGCCGATCATCATTCTCTTATTTGTAATTGTTACAATTGAATTCATATATGTGATTTATAAACACGTAAATTAAAATAAAATGATCTGATTAGCGGAACTATAAATAAAAAATAGCATTATAAAAGATATTTAAAGAATGAAACAAGCTTTGAATTTCAAATGAAGTCCATTGGGGTGAAGTTAAAAACGAAGCACAGATAAATATTTTTGTATAGAACTATAAAAATGAAAGAAGGAAAGTTTGTTCTTGAGGATTCTTCTGGATCGTGACCTTACAATGAGTACAAATATCTCTATTTATAGCTAAATTTGAGAGGCAAAATCCTCAAATCTCGCCCTCTTTAAGATAAATAAAACCCCCGTGCCTCGTAATGACTATGTAACGTTGAGAATAACTATTGTGATCTTCTGTGACGGTTGCCCCTTTAATTTAATTTCTTTTCAGCCGGTGTCTTGTCTCTAAATTTATTCCTCCGGCCTTGCGTCCCCAGAACTGTTAGATATGAAACCGGTCATACGACCTTATCCGTTATTACCTGACTGCTGACACACCTCTATTTTATTGTCACTGCCACATATGAGGAGTTCATCTGTACTCTAAATTTTACCCAATATATACTTTAAGTTTCTTGAGCTTATGATCTAGCCAGTGACAAATTCAAATATTTTGTTGAATGTACGGTTTCTGTCTCGAATTATTATAGGGAAATTACCAGCTATGTCCATTTATAAGTAGCTCATTACAAAAATTGGCCAATTAATAAAATATTACTAATATTAGCCAAATTAGCCAATTAGCTATTTGTAGCAAAAAATATCAAATTTTTGCTTTGTTTTGAGTGGGTGTTATTATAATAGATTGGGCACAACTTAAGGAGCTTGAATCTCAGTTTTGGGATGATTTGGTGAAGTTTTGAAGTTGGTTTGAATTGAAATTTCGAAGTAAACCTAAACATGAAAAAAAAAATGATATGTGTATCACACTGTGTATCATTTGTGTATCACATATGTATCATATTTGTATCAATTGTGTATGACATGTATATCCATGTATACCTGTGTGTGTGATACATGCGTGATACATGTTTGATACATGTGTCGCAGAAGACTTTTTTGAACTCGATTTAATTACGTTTTTTGATACAAAACCAGTCCAAATCACCTCCAATCTTCCTCAAATTTTGTATATTGACTTATCTATATATTTTCAATGAAATTCAACTATACCCATCGAAAAAGTTCCTTTTTTGTTTAGATTTTTGGAATATTGTATAGATTTCTGTATTTCATCACCTTATTTGCTACCCCGTCCATGAAATTTCCTTTCCGTCTTGTGTCTAATGTTGCTAATCACGCTTAAAAATATGGAAGGTGATTTTTGCATGTGATTCTTTGAGAGAAAGAACCCTATTATTTGGTTTTTCAATTTTTGTTGGCTAGTTTTGGTAAGTCTATGACTAATGGCTAGAGGTTGGTAAGTTGAGATTTATTTGGGACATTTGTGTAAGTTTCCCATTATTATATACGTAAAACAAATACTATAAATTAAACTAGATGTATATTTCAGAATTCACTCTTCCAATAAATAAATTGGTTCAATAAATAAATAAATAAAGTGAGGAGGGCTAAGTCAATTCAAACTTCTTCTTAGCTACGGAGGAAAGTAAATAAACAATAAATTGGTTCAGTTAACTAATTTTTTAATAGCGAGGAGGGATAAGTCAATTTAAAGTTCCTCTTAGGCATCGTCGTAGAAAAGTAAATATCCCTATAACAATAAGTTGGTAAAGTAAACTGATTTTTCTAATTGACTAATCAATCTTTCACTTTTTCAGCTCTTTGGTTGTCGAAGAAAATCGCTGCCGTAAATGCTGACCTTCCCTAAAATAATTATTTCAATGTTTAGGTAATGCATGCAGCTAATTGGCATTTGTTGTTATCTGATTACCAATCAAGGGCGGACCTAGCTTATAATTTATGAGTTCACACAAACTCAATAATATGGCCCTATATTTATATTAAGAACTCAGTTATTATGTATTTTAACATGAAATTGTTATAGGAATTCATAAATTTATCTGAATTTTTTATTTGGTAAAAAGTACATCAATTCACTAAAATTAGCCGATCAGAACAAGCGAGATTTAGTATGCAGTCTCTTAGAATTGAAGGTTCCAGTGCGAATGCACAGAGTACAAAAACAACAAATCTAATGTAAAGGGCGAGGAGAGTAGCGTGTATGCAGTCTTTGTCACACCTCCTTTTTCCCGAGGAAATAGGGAATTTTTCCAATTAAAATGACATTAATCGAAATAGGCTTTCTTCTTTCTCTTCTTCTTTTCTTTTTTGTATCGGAATAAATGAGATTATTTATTTAATTCAGAGTCGCCACTTGGAATAATTTATGGTGTCTCAAGTCATCGGTTTATGTTAAATCCCAAATCGAAAAAATTTGACTCTGTTTTAAAGTCTGCGAACACAGAAGACCGGGTAAGGAACTCTGTTAACCCGGGAGAATGTGTTAGGCATTCCCGGGTTCCGTGGGTTTAGCACTGTCGCTTTAATCATACCTGGCTTAGTTAATTGTTTAATTAGTATTTTAGAACCTATGTGCATTTACCGCTTTTAGTTATGGCGTTATGAAATTAATCTTTGAAATGGTTTACATGTGTGTCAATCTGTTTATTTTTTGCGTGCTAAAATCATGTACGCGTATGTGTACACAATTAATCACGCTTTATTACTTTAAAATTATTTTATCAAAGTCGCGCGGATGCGTACTTTGATTTATTTGTGAAAGATCATAATTATGTCACGCGAACGTGTACACAATTAGTGCCTAAAGCAACTTAAGAAGATTCAATAGCTATTTGTTCTAAACTAATTTTGTAATTAATGTAAGACTAAAGTTATGGAAGATTATTGGAGCTATTTAAATAACTAGTATCTATAAACGTGCGTTGCACGTTAATAATGGCACATGATGGTTTAAATATTTATTTATATGAACGAACAATAAAATTTAAATAATGAGAGAAATTTTATATATATAATACTACAACAATCATCTAAATGCCGAAAAATATTGTTGCATTAGCATAATACGTGAATTCAAAATAAAAGGACATCAACAAAACTTACACAAATGATCAATTTTAGTCATGTTAGGTAGATAATTGTATTATAGTTTAAAGGTATCTAAGGTGATGGTATCTTACCGAACACCTCTTTATATAAGGTGTTTTTTTGTATCAGAACCAAATCATCGTTATTGGATGCTCTTCTTCGTTTCCGACACGAAGCAAGAAGTCACTGAATGTTGGATTTGTTCTTACTTTTATATTTCTTGTCATTTGAATATTTTTTATTTGACGTCATAAGTATAATTTTGGCAAGCTAGCTTTTACAATTTCTTGGGCAATTTTGGAACTACTGATCGTACTTGACAGAAATCACCTCCCAAACTATTACTTTTCCACCAAACGGTTCACCGATATCCAATAATTTATTTTTTGTTGATTTAGATTCTTAATATTAATTCATCTCATGTTTGAATATTTAACCGTAATCATAATTTTATCCACCAAAAAATTTATTTTCAAAGAGTAAAAAGATGGATCTGGTATTCCACTTTTAGATCTTTATGTTTTCAGAGTCATTAGTGGTATTGGCTTTTATCAACTTTTTTCTTTCATTGCTCGCACATTTATGTTCTTAAAAATTTTCTTAGTTTTTTATGGGTTTTAATTGTCTTAGCTTTATGTTTTGATGATTTAACAAACTTACTGTCAAAGAACCAGATAGGGAACCTAATACACTTGGTATACATTGCTAATCAACGGACTCCAGCTAATGTGAACTGCTGCAACCTTAGAAGATAGAGAACCAACACAGGGACCTGATCCCCTGTGTTTCCCTGACAGCAGTACGAAAGTCAACTGTGTACAGCTGTAAAGTGACTGCCACAGAAATAGTGCACACAGTGCAGCACAGTTCTGCAGTCACTTGTCTTTTGACCAACCAAGTGCTTACATCATTCAAGTGATGTCATCAAATG